AGCTACAATAATTTTTTGGCAAACGTCACACTTTGCTTTGCGATCGGTATCCATGGTTACGTCGTTGAAAACTCGAAGCTGATAGACCAATCAAAATTGAAAGACAGTTGGTGTTTTCGCGATAACACAAGCTGTCTTTGGTTTGTGATTGATCAGATTATGTGAAAATTTTAAGATGAGTGAAATAGTCAAATATATGCAGCCAGCTTGTCATAGTTTTATCCAAGTTGTCATCCAAGTATTTTTGTTATAAACTGGTTCTGGTGGTAATTTGTCAATATGTCCGTTAAAACAGAGAAGATTTTCACATTTTTTAATTACTAAGGGATCATCTTATATTTACATAACAGTTAGTCAAAAGGTTTTGCTGCAGTCTTCCCTGTATATTTTTTATTTTTTAATGCAAATAACTTGTTAGGCATGGCTCAGAAATAAAGCCCTGTTCACATTTAGTGGAGAATTCATGGAAATATCTGAATATCAATGGTAACTTGGTTTTCTAGTCCTCCATGTCGTTTAAATTAACCACTGCAGAATCACCACAAATTGTTTCAAAAACTTTCAAACCATCTATCTTCAAACTGTTTAGTGTCTCGATTTCTGGCTTTGCAAAACCACCACTATGTAGATGACTTAATCCACTTCCAATCCTTCTGACATAAGCAACTGTCGTTAAGTTAACACCTTCCTTAAAATAATTTTTAAACTCATTTTTATTTTTTATAATTTCAATAATTTGAGTTTTTTCAACCTCATATTTTTCGGTTAACTTTCGCAAACTTAAACCATACTTTTCACTTTAAAATAATTATTGCCATCTGTTGAGGTTTTCCATATATTCAAGTTCCTTATTTAAGAGGTTTTGTTTTTTTTACTTTTGTGTATTCTCGTTTCTTTCCTTCTCTTTATCTGGTAATTCTTTCCAGTTGTTTTAGTTTGTAGGGTAAGCATTTTTTCAGGCTTCATTTTTTTCTTTTGTTGCTTTTAATGAAAGAGGTTGTCGACCTCTAGCCCAACTCCCAACCTGGAGGGCCATGGACTCTTCTGTTAGGGTTGCCATACCTTAGTCTGTTTTGGTTCGCGGTTGGTATTTTTATTATATAATATTTAATATTATTTTATTACTTTTATTAATTCTTCGTATATATCTTCTTATAATAATTAAAAATCGAACTAAATTCGGGCAGTATTGCCAATAAGTTAGTCAAAGATCCATTATTTGAAAAAAATAATTTACTGGCATATATTCCTGGTCAGCTTATAAAAAAACGCGGGTTAGTCCGATCTGTAGATACTTCCTACAGCGAGGAGGCCCTCCTACAAATTATTAATTCTATAATTAAGTAATTATATAATTATAACTATAATTAATATAATTAAGTATTATAGTATTATTATTATAGTATTATAGTATTATAGTGTACCTATCAAAAAAGTAAAACGCATGACTAGAGTTATCCAAAAAGACAACAATATGGAACGTGTTCCTCGTCAAATGATCATTGTTACGTTTGAAGAAAAACTTATTCCTCAATTTATTTATATTAACAAAATTAGATGCTCTCTAGAAACATATTAATCCAGTTATACAATGTTTTCGTTGTCTCCGATATGGCCATTCCGGTTCACAGTGTAGGGGAAAGAAAATGTGTAGAAATTATTGGTCAGAAAATGAATCTGTGTGCGAAGCATGCAATATGTTTTGTTTATTGCAAAAATAATAGTCACAATTCTACTTATAAGGAGTGTCCTGAATTTAAAAAGCAAACTAGAGTCAAAGAAGCTATGTCTAATTTGAATATATCTTTCAAAGAAGCTGAAAAAATTATTAACAATCCGGCCTATTCTAGCCTCATACAAAAAAATAAATTTGCTCCATTAATTGATTCGGATATAGAATTTCCTGCTTTTAAAACTTTTACAGCACCACATCCTGTGCCTAATACTTTTCCTAAATCAAACTTTATGTCAACACATGATCAACCATCTTCTCCTAAACCCTTGCCAAAAAAAAAAAAGAAAAACTAGTGATTCTTTTCCCAATTTACCACTCGTTAGACGAGAATATAATACTAGCTTTTGTGCAGGACCGGTCTTCCAGTTTGGAAAAGAGTCAAAATGGACGTACCTTTTAACGAAGCCCTAAAGTAGTGCTTTACCACAAATATTAATGGCATCACTGAAATTCTAGGATCTAGAATTGGTAGTTTCTTATTTTAGTTTAGTTTTCAGAACAGCTATATGTTTCAGTAGTTTAAAAAATACTTAAAATAGACCATATGCAGTCAAGTGAGATCTGACCTTGAATAACCATGTTCATAAATTTTATTATTATTTATAAATATATAAATTTTATTATTATTATAAAAAGCTTGTAGATATATTAAAAAGCAAAAATATTGACAGTCGTGATCTGAAAATTATATCTAATTTATATTGTAATCAAACTGCCAAGGTAAGAGTTGACAGCCAGTACCCCGAAAATATCAAAATATAGAGAGGAGTCCGCCAGGGTTGAGTGCTGTCCCCACTACTTTTCAATGTCTACAGTGAAGCGGTATTTCAAGAAGCGCTCTCAGACTCAATAGAAGGTATATCTATCAATGGAGAAGTTTTGAATAACTTACGTTTTGCAGACGATACAGTAATAATTACGGATAACAACAATGATTTACAGAACCTAATGCAACGCCTTAATGAACGCTGTCATGAGTACGGACTGAAGATAAATTTAAAGAAAACTAAATGCATGATCATGACTAAATCGGCACATGCAAATATCCAATTGACTATTGAAGATACTGCAATTGAGAATGTTAATTAATATCTATAAATATTTAGGAACATGGATAACATCAGATGTATACCAAACCAAAGAAATTAAGACACGTATTGAAATAGCACGTACATCATTTATTAAACTTAAAAAGTTTCTTTGTTGTCGGGATATAAGGTTAGAACTACGCTTGAGAATGCTTCGATGTTACGTGTTCTCTACTCTTCTTTATGATCTGGAAGCTTGGACACTAAAACAAGTTCATCTGAATAAGCTGGCCGCCTTTGAATTTTGGTGTTACAGAAGAATCCTACGAATATCATGGATTCAAAGAATGTCAAACATGGAAATAACTAGAAGGATAGGAAATGAGGCGGAAATAATATTAACTATTAAAAGACGAAAACTTGAGTACTTGGGACATGTGATGAGAGGGCAAAAATACGCATTATTACAACTTATTATGCAGGGCAAAATCCGAGGAAAGCGAAATGTGGGAAGACGAAGAATATCCTGGCTTAAGAACTTAAGGGAATGGTTTGAATGCAGTAGTGCAGAACTTTTTAGAGCGGCAGTCAACAGAGTCCGCATAGCCATGATGATTTCTAACCTTCGATAGAAGATGGAACTTAAAGAAGAAGAATAAATTTTTTTACATTATTATATACCATTACATTAACGACAAGTAATAACTACCACAAAGGACAAACCACAAACCACAAGGACCACAAACTTCTTATATAGCAGTAAGCATCTAAAAGAAGGTAGGTTTGTTACAAGACCTGGTATGATTACGTTTTTTTTTGGATAGCTCTTTATGAATTTAAGATTTGCTATAGAGTTTGGTTAACTTCATATTTGATTTTGATTTAAATACGACCCCTCTTTAGATTATTACTAAAATATCTGGATATTTTTTGTTTGTGGTGTAATGGGCACTCTATTATAATGCATTTTTAGATATACTCCATTCCACGAATATACGACTGTTTTAAATTCGGTTTAAGGTCTCTATTTGAATGGTCCAATGTGCTGAATTGTACAATAGTAAATTCTCCCTATTTTTAAAATACTGTTATGACTTAAAATTTAAATATGAAGTCATGATATAAATATAGAGTTGATAGTTTATAGAATAGTTTTAATTTAGATTTTGAAGTACATAATTACTATCATTGATTTTAGTATTGTAAACAAGTTGTTTTTTGAATTAAGTGATTTAAACGAAGTGTAACAATACTAAGGTGGTTAAATAGTGTAATTTATTTAGTCGAATATTCAATTAGTATTAAGAAAACAAAAAAAACTTACTTATTCTCTTATTCTCCTAATCTCCTAAAACTATCATCAACCATCAGATTCACAGAACTTCACCATAGGAAAGTACATTAAATACAAAGTTGTCTACATCTAAAACACGTCTCGGCGTTTTTGGCTTTAATAAACAAATACACTACACTAAACTCTCTCTTAACGGCACCTTTCTTCATCGGACACCTCTATACGGACAGTTTTTAAAACTAAAATCAGTCGGCGATATATGAAACTGTATATAAATGTTCGTTACTTTTTAATATCTGTAACGACTCGGTACTTCAACTATCAATGGCCGGTATGTTATACCCTTTACTTTCGGAACTTTTAAGAGTACATCCACTCAAATCAAACAAATATTTAAAACTAAAAAAGTGAAATTATAGATCCTTTTTCTGGTTTCCAAACCATCGTTCTGCTAATTTCTTTTCATTTATATTAAAAGTATATTTCTTTTTATTGCAGTTGTAGTACCTAATACAGTAATAAAAAGTGTGATATCAAAGGAACCCGGCACGCCTCTTTGGTGTTTACATTTCACGGAAACCCAACCCAAATATCTTATGAACACATTTTGGCTTTATAGAACTCATTGTATTTATTTGTAGGACCGTTTGCGTAAAATTTTTTGTTATTTTCGGATTAAATTTCACAATAAATTTTGCGTCTATCTGAACATCTATTAACTGAAATAATTTTAGTGTAAGTGTCAAACTAACAGTAAATCCATTTTATTGGAATACTGTTTAAACCAATTTACTTTCATATTTCTACTTGCACAGTAAAATATTCGTTGTCGTAATAATCCAAAACATATTGTTGCTTGAGTACGATGTTTTGTATCTAAAGCCCATCACTAAATTATGTGCTAAATAAATCTCGTTATTATAACAGTTTTATTATTTTTTAGGGTCTTTGGCAACTGACAAATTGTTGGCCGGAAAACACTTTTAAATACTTTCCAAAAAGCGTACCTCAAGGTTCGTACAAGATTATTATGGAATCAAAATTAAAGGATGGAAGAGTTTTGAGCAGAATTGCTTGGTACGGAAAAGCCAGTTTGTTTTTCAAGCAGGTTCAAAGTATGAACAGTACTTCAAAATATAATTTATTTTAATGTATTTATTAGTGAATTATTATTGTTAATTAAAAGCTAACTAGGTCAGAGACTTATTTCTTTAATAAAGTATTACACCTGAAGTCTGCTTTTTATTGCGCTATTTTATCCTTGGCTACCATTCAGAGCTTTTTTACAAAATTATACTTAAACCGCTGTTTAAAAGGTTCTGAAACTGTTTCTTGTGTCATGTAGAAGTTCAATATTATTTAAATGATGAATTGGTTGCCCATCGCCATCTTAAGAATAGACCACAGTATAGTGCTAAAGTGAATAGACCTTGAACCGGAATGTGAGTACTGTTTATAATATTTTAGACTAATTTCACCTTAATATTCATTAAATAAATAAACACTCTCTTTTTTAACTAACAGAAGTAATATTGGCATCTTTTGTGTCATACCTGATGTAAGGTTTGCATTAAGCATTCTAAAGATTGTCGGTAACGGTGACCTAATGATGACTACAAACCTGTAGTGGTCGAAACCGGTCGTCGCTTAGTAAATAAATAGATTGTGATACGTTTGTCATTTATTTTTACTACGTAGTTTTAAATATTATTGTTTATATAAAATTAAGTTAAATAAAAGCTACAATTTATTGTAATTATAACCATATATAGCCAATATTAGATAATTGATAACGATTTAAGAAACACTTATCAAAGTAAGTCACAAGCCACAGTGGTAAAATGTTAGTGTCACAAAAGTATTTTTGAGGTTATATTGTTTTATTAGAAATGGTTAAACTCTCTTCCTTAGTAGGTAAATATTAAAAACTACCACAGAAGGTCGTTTTCTGGAGTCATGGTGCAACTCATATAGTTGGTTCAAATCACAGTTGATGCTTTGTAACATATTTTTTATTAATAGAACATAGTACTATTCTGTACTATATTTCTTGGCAATATAGGGTAAGTCCGGGAGAGATGGATCAGTCCATTATTTCCGAACTGGAACCCTCGAGCGCTACCATCGTTTGTTGTGAGTATGCTTCAGTTACAGTGAAGACATGTTAGTTGTGTGGTGTTGTAAATATTTGTCGAGAAAAACGTCATTGTGTGTTTTGGTAAGTCCCAAAGTTTTTTAACGTATTAACATAGTTTAAGTTTACGTGATATCGACGTAGAATTCTTGTAGCGATGTCAATAAACATGTAACATAACCAAAAAAGGCCGCGATGTGTACGTTAAAAATGCGAATTTTGAGGTGGTAAATCTCACCCGGACTTTTGGGAGAGATGGACTAGTACGTTTTGGTAGAGATGGGCCACGTATTCCAATACGGGAGAGGTGGACCAGTACCAACGTTTTTAAATCATTACGTTACTTTATATAAATATAAATATATATATATATATATATATATATATATATATATATATATATATATATATGTATATATATGTATATATATATATATATAATATAATATATATATATATATATATATATATATATATATATATATATATATATATATATATTATATATATATATATATAGGTAGAGGGGTGTATTCCGTCTACGCCCCTCTACGGCGCGTAGACGGAATATGCATTAATACAACCGGTTAATGCGGTGGAAAATAAAGAAATGGGTGTCAATGCTGCTGCTAAAGCTTATCAAATTCCTAAGACCACTCTTAAAAGAAGGATTAAAAAACAAAAGTTTACGAAGGACAGCTTTGAGTTTTCCTCCATTTTAGGAAGAGTAAATGAACAGAAGATTGTAGGCCACATCAAAAAGTTACAAGCTTATGGGTTTACTCCTTGTAGGGATTCAGAACATTGCTGCTATAGTCAAAAAGTTTACTCCATAGTTTACTCTTTACTAGAATTAGATCAATTTTTACAAACGCAAGGTCAACCATCAGCTCCATATAGCCAATCATATCAAAATTGTGGTGGACAGAGTCCTGCCCCAATGATACCTGCATCTTATATACCTTAATCATCACCCTCACCTACAACTTCGGTAAGGTCTTATCTCGCAACATACTCTTATGATGAGGATAACTCATTATAAGAGTATGTTGCTAGACATAGTTAACAACTAATTGTTGTTAACAGTGGTGTTAATAATTTGTAAAAATAGTATTATAAAAAATAATAAACTTACTGTTCCAGAAATGAACATATTGTTTTAAAATATAAAATAAAAATGTAATTCTTTGACTTTTCTTAGTATAACTTAGAATAACTAGAATAGTCACCTTATCTAGTTTGAACGCGACACCCGACTGAGTGGCGTCTGACCCACCCAAATAAAATAGGGATAATATTCCCGTTCGCGCAATATGTAGTGTTTTATCAGTTCAGTAAGATCAGTTCAAGTTGACATAGTAACTTGTCTTAAAGACTGTCAACTGCTTCAAAAGATCTAAAAGTGGCTTCCCACGATCGGCGATTCTACAGATCATCGCGGATAGCCGATCAGCACGCACGACAACGCACCGCAGACAGAGCTCTTCCTACGGTCCGTGACAGTCTGTGTAGGTCCGTGACAGTAATGTTTGATTATATCATAAAAAGACCACTCAGGCTTGTAAACATCATTGCCTTCTGTATGTCGTCATTAAATTATGTCTCTTCTTTTTTAATTCTTTAATCGAAATAGTACTATTCTTCAATTGATTTTTTTATTCGGTTCCATATATCGTATGCATCGTTCCGGTTCTTATGCTCTGGCGCCGTGGAATTCCATAAGCTTGGTTCATTTTGATGCAAATTTAAAAAATCAAAAATAACTTTGTTTGCTCATTCCATTTTTTAGCAAAAAAAACTGCAAAACAACTTTGACAAGACTACATACAACTACTCGTGTCAGTGATTGAAAAGTTCTGACTTGCACTTGTCTGTTAAAACACAGACGCGCTAGGATCGCGTCGCACGAGCATGTACCGCACCTTTGATGTTACCGACTCTAGATGGATAGGACGGACCAGCACAGACGTGCCTGTGCTACCACGGACGAGACCTTTCCCACGGTGCGTGGTGCAGGCTGGTCCGCTTACGTCCGCAATATTGCCGACCGTGGGAAGCCGCTATAAAACGTACATTGTAATACACAGACATAATTATTATTGTAAACTTATGTATATACACTAATTGTACCAACTGTCACATTAATCTAAATAAACTGACGACCTTGCGTGCTTGATGGGTTATTAAAATAAAAAAAACAACGTCCACTATAAACATGTTAAGATTCTAAATATTTATAAGACACAAACAAAAATAAACAAAGAATCTCCTACAATGAATAAAACCTTTTTATGAGATGGTATACCTATTTGAGGAGTATTGCTGACCCTGGTTCGAGCCGCCACTGATAACGAAAAATGTTTTTTACCAAGTAACTAGTTTTTGAGAAAAAGGAATGGCTTCTAAGCTCTTCAATGTTAGTTGGATATATAAAAAGTAAAAGGACAACGCATTTAATAGCTCCAAAAGTAAAAAAGTGTATATTATTTATTATTTTGTTAAAAATAAAACAAATAAAACATTAATTATTAAAACCTCTTTTTATTCAAGGTTTTTAATTCTGTTACCATTTTTATTCAGTGCCTCAAAACTAATAAAAAAATATACTTTCCAAACGAGAAGTAACAAGTAATTGGATTCTTTTTAATAATAAAATTGTAGTATGTCAAACAACTCGACACAGCAGAAGACGAAAAGTTGGTTTTACCAGTCACCGCACTTATTATTAGGCTAAAATTTCCTGTAAATCAGCCCTATAATTTGTCTTTTCTGAAAACTAGGAAATCAACTCGCGGCCTTGAATATTTCACGCGAATGATTAATTGTTGTTGGAAATTTCCAAAAATGTACAACTGGTTATTAGCGAAACACGGTTTGGATAATGAGATTACATACCTATTGCAAACAAATACCTATTGTTTATTTTCTACTAAACTTTAATTGGTACAGATGCAGGAAAACATAGTTAACATTATGAAATGTCCACAATGAATCTACGTTCCTGTAGTTGGCTGTATACCATATATTAAAAAATTTATTAAAAATCCTTTGTAAAAGGTATATATTTAGACCCAAACGGGCTAAGTTAAAAAGACAAACCGTTTTCGGAATCAATATTCCATCATCAGTGTCTAAGAGTACATGTTGCTTCCATACAGTCTTCGTAGACACACTGTCTCAAGACTAGCAACTTCAACGTGGAGTCATATGTCGCCATGTTACCTAATCCAACGGTAACTTTAACATCCTAAACCATTATAAGAAAATTTGTGAACTAAATGTAATTAATTATTTGTTAACGGGTTTTTACCCATATATTTAGTGGCTACATTCATGTACTCTTAGACACTGATGATGGAATATGGATTCCGAAAAGGTTTTCTCTTTTTAACTTAGCCCGTTTGGGTCTAAATATATACCTTTTACAAAGGTTTTTTAATACATTTTTTAATATGAAATGTATCCTAATCGAAATACATGATAGAGAAAATTTTGTTATCACCATCCCAGTTGTATTATTTATACAATTGATTAAATAAACATATCCGCTTTCACAAAAATTACTGTGTCTGAATGTAAACATTCAAAACATTTTAGGATTTTAATTAACTGGAACCCCTTATTGGCCACCTTTTTTTTGAACTGGCCGTTTCTCTCTGATTGACATATTTTTTTAGAAAATTATAATTCCAAACCAGTTTAAAAACGGAATGTTCTGTTTACATGGTAAATATTCAGCTCGTAAATTTAAAATTGTTGGATGAGTTTCTTTATTATACTATATAAGAATATAAATAATGTTAAAAATATTTAATTTTCTTTAAAATTAGGCGTATGGATATAGAACATTGAGTACTCGAAGTACGTAGGTACAATAGGTACAATAAATTACTCCAATTAACATATTCTCTCCCAGGCGGCATCAATGTAATGCCTCTCTTAACCGTACTCTTGTAACAGTGAGGCATCACTGTAATACCACAATATAGTTTTGTATTAGGGACAACGTGGCATTG